TCCAGCCTGGTCTTAGCTGGTCAGGCTGGGAGATGACCAGCCAAAACCAGCCATGTCAAGCTTAAACCAGGCTGTCAAGCTGGTTTTAGCTGGATTTAGCTGGTCATTTTTCAGCCTGACCAGCTAAGACCAGGCTGAAAATGGCTGGGAAACTAGCCTGGAAGTGGCCAAAACCCCTCTGAAACCAGCCTGGTCAACCAGCTAAAACCAGCCAACCAGCCTAGACTGGTTTTAAGCTGGATTTTTCAGCAGGAACGTAATAAATCAGAAAAACTTAATTCCAGTCTAAGAAAAGCAATTTATTTTCTCCAATAACTCCTGAGGATTATTAATTCACTGCATGTATTTATGTTTAGCTGTATGCAATCATGCATACTATAGTAAGTACATAGAGCTTGTGTAGCAAGGCTGCTTTTAAATAAAGTGTTAGCAGGCACTGTTACTTTTTCAAAAAGAACTCAGTTTAATTCTTATGATTTTTTCTGCAAATTTTCGAGAGGGGTCTGGCTGCAGACCTGGTGCAGTGCAATCTGGGCTGCATCCAATGCTTTTAAATAGGCTCACCTAACCCCACCCGTCACAGTGACGTCACTAGCTCCATTTGAGTGCATTGTGTCTGACATTGCATCGCTGAGTGATGCAGTCTCAGCTTGCATCATAAAGGCTGCATCCAGATACTATTGAAATTTTCTCTCTCCTAGAGTTAAAAAGTTGAGTTTTAGCATTAGCTCAAGTATGCGAATGGACTTTATGCGCAAAACTGGATTATCCAACACAATCTCACGGCAATTCGTAACTTTTTCATTTAGTGGCTAATTCGTATGAATTCGTACGATCTAATTCGTACAATTTAGTACGAGTTGCTTATCCCCCAATGACGGATGGGGTTAGGGGTGGGGTCAGGTGCCACGCCTCCTTTTTAAAATCATACCATTTCGTACGACTGAACTCGTACGAATTCGTACGAATTAGCCACTAAACTGGCAAAACGTAAAATACTTGCGTTTTCTCGTGAGATCAGGCTGGATTATCTCATAAAAGTCGTGCGAATAAAGCTGCGTTTCCATCCAACGAGTCAAAGCGAACTAAATCGTCACATCGGAACGCAAACGGGAGCACATTACACCCACACTGGCCTCTCTTCATTGGCTTCCTGTACAGTTTAGGAGGCATTTTAAAATGTTAGTTATGGTGTTTAAATGCCTAAATGGACTAGCAGCAAGATACTTGTCCTCATTAATCCAGTTGTACACTCCGTCAAGGGCACTTAGATGTACTGATCATCTACTTTTGGCTGTTCCACGCGCAAGGTTAAACCAGGGGGGACCGTGCCTTTGCAGGGGTGGCCCCCAAGCTTTGGAGTAATTTCATCCCCGTGTTAGGCAGGCTGCAACCCTTTCTGTTTTTAAATCCAGTCTTAAAACCCACTTTTACTCTTTGGCTTTTATTATGAGAGTCATGTGTCTGCTGTATTTGTCCTTTGTTTTAGATGGTGTATATGTATGGACAGAACATTGGTAAGCACTTGTTGTGCGTTTTATAAATAAACTTGACTTGACTTCCTGATTATCTGGCGCCAAATATCAACAGTGAACACTGAGTTAGCTGCAGTAGGAGAAGCTGCGTCAATCTTTTCTTCATTTAATAAACGACTTGCACCTCAGAAGGCAACCCTGACACGCAGTGAACACGCGGTGGCGTTTGAAGGTGTCAGACGCGGAGCACAGACGCTCGTGATTCTGGAGGTCACTAATACACTAATACGGAAACGGTAAGGTGTTTTAGAATGACCAAAGCATCAGTTCAGATGTTCTACAGTGTGCTCAGCCTGCTGGTTTATCCATTCACACACATTTTCATCATCATATGATCTCTTATAGCAAAATCACATGACCTTTTATATGCACATACTGGAGTTTGTTCAGTAAAAGTGTTTCAGTCGCAGTTTATATGCATCTTTTCTTACCGAATAAAAAGATTATGCGCAAAGCAGCTAGTGCTGTCGCCTCACAGCAAGAAGGTCGCTGGTT